AGAAAGAAAGGAGCAAAAAGGAATCAAAGTTGTGCAGCTGAAAAGTTCGATCGATCCAACTTAGAGTTCGATCGATCTAACATCTATGATCGATAACAGTACTTCTCGATAGATCCAACCTTGGCCTTTGCTGAAATTCCAAGTTCGATCGATCCAACATCACCTTCGATCGATCGAACCCTATTTTGTCCTATTCAAATGATTGATCTTATCCACAACTGTACGCCTACCAACCACTTTTGTCCTTTTCCCCATAAATATCTTTGAAATATCTCTGCCTTGTTCTTATCCGGAGGAGTCAGACCACTTTGATCGATCCAAGATGCAGTTCGATCGATCGAACCCATCTTCGATCGATCCAAGTTAAGGTTCGATCGATCGAACTTCCACCAGCGAGAAAAAGTTAAAGTCCAGCTCATTTATTCCGTCCTTCACCCAATCATTGGAGAATATGCCTTGCACGACCACAGCTTATCATAGGGTGTATTTGACCTACCTATATAAGGAATATGATACACTTTTTGGAGAGGAGTCTAGAGTCTCTTGTCACACATTAAAAATCATCTTGGAGGCTATTCTTGGAGAGGAAGAAGGGAGGAAGCTAGAGCAACCATTGGAGGAGATCTTCATCTACAAGGAGCAGCCATGGAGTTAGCCCTTGAGGGTTGGATCATCATTACCATGAGTGGCTAGACATCTTCTTGGGGCTAGAGTTAGCCCCAAGCATGCTTTCTATACTCTAATCTTGTGTATTATTGAGGGATTAGTGTTGTATGATACATCTTGATATTCATGTATATATAAATCCTGATTATTTCATGGTTTGTATGGTTTAATGCTTCCAATTGACTATTCTATGCTACCCATATGTCTATGTATGCTAAAGTAGGATATTCATGTGCTTATCTCTAGATTTAGTGTTTTTGATGCATGTCTATGTGTATTGATGCTATAGATCTAGAGATTATCAAGATGATATGCTTAATGAATGCTATTTTGGTTCATTTGATGGTTTATGCCTATTCTTGATGGTTTGTGCCTCTCCCCTAGTCTAGATAGCTTTATTTTCATGCTAGTAGTGTAGATTTAGTGTAGTGGTAGTATAATGTTAGATGGGAGGACACTACTCTTGATGTTTGATGTTCCATGCTTGTGAGTCCAAATGGCATATTCCTCTAATATTGTGTTGCATGTGGATTGTGAGCTTAATGAAGGATTAATGACTTGTTTTGATCTATTGTGCTATCCCCATGTTGTCTAGACAATATATGCTCTATTGCTTAGATATATTGTGCTCTTCACATGATGTTTAGACAATACTTGCTTGATTTGTCATCCTTGCCAATTGAATCAACCTAATGCACACACACCCTTATCATATTGCAACACATCCATTACCCTCAATTGATCACTTGTTAGTAGTATAGAAAAGTATTGCTTGGTGGTGATCTCTACACCCCAAGACCTCCCTCTCTCTTGTTTACCTCATATTATTTTATTTAGTTGAATTCAATTTAGCTTAATCAACCAACCAACCAATTGTGTGATCACTCGACCTACTAACCCTAATTACCATAGTTCACAATTCGATACACCGTCAAATCTCTTGGGACGATCCCTACTTGCCCTATCTATATTTTATATAGAGAAAGGTAGTAGTGGCTTTTTATAAATGTAAAACTTGGCCACCTCCTAAACACACACAACTCTCAAGCTTTGTTGGTTGTGGCGACTCCATCAAGGAAACCGACAACACTAATCGTACTGATAGAGCGAAGTCTACACGAGAATGGAAATGACTTTTAATAAAAATAATTCAGAATTTCGTGAATTCCGAGGATGGAATTCCTTTTGTTAGGGGGGAAGAATGTAAGACCCCTAGTTTTAAAAGAATTATAATTGAAATTTTAATATTCCTTTTATTGTTTTCATTATTTATTTTATTTGTTTTCGGTATTTATGTGGTTAGGCTTTTCTGAATTAAATTAAGTGTTGGGTGAATTTAAATAGTTATACATTAAATTGATTTGTTAGTTGTTTTATTTTTCCTTGGTTTAATTGGTAATTGCGATATTTAAATTAATTGAATTTTTATTTTATTATTTGAATTGTTGGACCTATTTGTAATTATTTGAATTATTTGCGTTAATGATATTATTATTTGTCTGAATGGATTTACTGGTGATTATTGGTATTGGTTGCGTTAATTTCATTATTGGGTTTAAATTATTGTAATTAAGTTAAGTGAGTTTTTAGACGTCACCTAAGTGTAGTCGACATAGATTTTAAACGTAGGCTCTGTTTATGGGCCGACTAGTATTTAGATTAGGGCTCTGTTTTTAATCCTACAGGGAATAGGGTTTCAATTAAGCTATATATATATAGAGCAGTATGTCACCTTAGGGTTTAGCAATCACAGACCTTATTTACGTTCAGAGTATTGAGAGAACAACAGAGAGGAACAGAGAGGGGTCGTGAGAAACAAACAGAGCTACTTTGGTGAGGGTTTGGCCGTGGCTTACAGGATGGACGTAGGAGAAGGGAAGATGGAGCAATAGGAGATTTAACAGTGAATGGGATCGCTGGAAAAACCTAGAACGACGGCAACAGAATTTTGAATCCAAAACTGTAAAGGCAAGTTCTTTCCTTTCTCTCTCCCGTTGCCTGTGTTCTGTGCATCCTTAGACTGTCTCTAGGGTTTTAATTGATCATTAGTTAATTTATACATGCTTGTTATATGCTAAATCAGATGTCTGTACATGTGGAAGTAATCTGTTTTAGTTCTTGTACCTCTGGTTTCTAGTTTGGAGTGGAAGCATGTTTAATCGGTTAAGGTTTTAAAAACTGTATTTGAATTGAACTATTGTGAACAAGGCATAAGGTTGTTGTTGGATGTTTCTAGGACTCTTAACACCAGATTTAAGAAGCAACAGAGGGGTAGGAAAGGGTCAGGGATGGAGCAGATCGTCGGAGACGGCGAAGGAACAAACTGGGGCTCTCAAAGGGGAGAGAGCCGGCTCTAGGCAAGGAGAGCCGGCTCTAGGCAAAGTGGAGCCTGCTCCACTTGTTTTGGGAGCAGGCTCTTTCTTTTTGTGCGTACACTGAAGCAGTTGCGCCTTGTCTGGTCCAACTGTGGGTTTTTGAATAATGTCTGGGCTACTGTGATGATTTTAAACACTAATTCATGGAGTATTAAAGCCCTAAGATGCATTAATTTGTTTTTATGCTAATGTTTTAAACAGTAGGAAAATCTTAAGTAAGTCGCGGGCTGTTTAAGGACTTAACGGACCGGAAGGATTTAATTGTGCAAACTTTGTCTAGGAATTAAAAAGGGTTGGAACATGGATTCCAAACAATATTACCATGTTATATTAGAGCCTCACATAATAAATTATTGTGTTAGTACTATTGGATTTAACAGTAAGAGGGAAAGTGCAACGGTGCAGGCTGTTAATGGAAGGAACGAATTTAATTGCCTAGTTTAATTTCAGTAATTTAACGGAGTATGTATATATTTATAAATCTTGTTGGGGTGCCATGCTAGGATCATTTAATTAACAAGTTTGATCTAGGCATATCCTGGATGTTAATTGTTGAAATACTAAATATTTTTCTGGAATGCATGGACTTAAGCTTGTAATCTTAATTGCGGTAACATTAAGCATTTCACTGCAATTACTTAGATTAGGGTTTGGACTTAAATTGCGCGAACTAGTACTTAGGTTCTGTCAATCTAATTGGATGTTGGCCTGGAATTAATTGAAGAATTAAATATATATTTTCTATCAATTTCATGGATGAATGCTGGAATTTAACTTGACGAATTAGTAAACTTTGTCTCGTTTGATTACATGGATGGATTCTGGATTTGTAGTTGATAACTTATTTAAATTCTGTGTTTATTAACTATATGGATAATGTGGACTTTATTTGATGTACTGCTTATAATGTTGCATCATTTACGGATCATTTGCATATATGCACCGGTATGGGACGGTGGCATACGGAGGGATGGATTAGGTCACAACGCTAATTCCTACCCATTCATACATACGGAATGGATTAACTAAAAACAGTTAAATCCTACATGGTTTCATGTCTAGTCAACTAAAACAGTTAAACGACATGCTGGATGGTTGTTTATATTTCTGCGTTAGGATGAATAGGGTTTTAACTAAAACATTTAAATCCTAATTTTATGTCGTGTCATGGCAATGAATCAGTTGAGCGGCACTACATTGGTTTGGATGGGAATTTATATATATAAATTATGGTATTGCGATTTGAGCTTGAGTCTCATAGTCGACGGTTAGGGTGCGTATATGCAGTAGGATGCGTAACTAGCTATGTTGGTTGAGGTATACCCTGTTAGGCTTAGGTAGTCATGCCCACTCAGGTGCGTATTGCATGTTACCTTCTATTTAGGTTGAGACCCTCAGCATAGTTAGTGAGAGTCCTGTAGTGTGGATATATATTTATCTATTACGGACTATATAGATATGATTGAGACGTCTAGGATGTATCTGCGTATCGGGTCTCTGTTTGGATTGTAATTAGGATAGAACTTGTTCGTGGGCCTGACCCACTATTATTTTTCAGGTAACGGACGGTTCCAGGTCTTAGAGCTTGTTCGTGCTGAGCAGAGACGACTACTCATTCTACCGACGATGTAGGAGGTTCTACATGGTTTAGCAGTGGACTTCTTTTTAGTTGTTCGCTTTCCAGTATTGGCTTTTAATTAGGGGTCCACCAGATGGATTCCCGAGTTGTATTATAATTGGAGAAGTTGGATGTAACAGACTAGTTCTTATTTATAAGATTTATGTTGAAGTTTTCAATAAAGGATTTTCATTTAGCTTCTTTCCAGCGAATTTTATTTACTCATGTTTATCTTAATTATATTCTGTGTTCAATTATTGCTAATTTGTTTGATATCCTCGGGTAGTCGGGCGTGGGCCTAGCCAACCCGCATTCGGAAATCCGGGGGTATCACACATAACCTCAGAGAACCTCCATGCCTTTCATTAGGATTAGGAATAACATTGAAGTCTCCCATAAACAACCATGGGGAAGAGGAGAAGGGACCAGCATGGAAATTAATATCCTCCCAAAGAGACTGTTTTTCAACTCCCAAATTAGCAGCATAAATGAAGCTAGAGAAAAAGCTAATGGAAGTCCCAATGATAGAGATCTTGCAGTGAATAGCTTGTCTGGAAGAGCTAAGAACTGAGAGATCAATGAGGTTAGGGTTCCACATGACCCAGATTCTACCCAAGGTAGAGAAATTATAATTGTGAACAATTGACCATTTAGGAGCAACATTTCTGTGGCTGGAATCCAATTTAGCAAGAGACACCTTGGTCTCAACAATAGAGATTAAGTCCAGCTTTTTGTCAAAGATAAGTCTCTTTATCTCTGACTGCTTAGAGGGATGGTTTAGCCCTCTAATGTTCCAAGTAATGAAGTTTATCATTGAAGATGAGGTTTGGAAGGGCCTCCAAGATGCCCCTTGGACATCAAATTGCTTCTTTCAGATCTTTTCATTATCCTGATTGTACTAATGTGGTGGGCTATTGGATCATTTTGACTGTCAGGTTCACTAAATGAGGAGGATGGAGTGGTTGTCTTCTTCGAACTTTTCACACTCTTCAGTCTGCAGTGGGCCAAAGTAATAGAAGTAGGAGAGTTGTAGCTCGGAAGGACAGACATGGATGCTGGAGATTTCCTTAGTGGAACCTGAGGGACTGGACTTATCTCTGAGAAGTTAAGTTTTTTACTACACAATCGGGAGTGAATAGGAGTCGAGGGGTATGGGGGAGTATTCTGGACTAAAGTGTGTGCTGAGGAGGAGTCATGCTGTTGGGAAGAGGAGTTAGGGGAGATGGTGGATGGGGTATGCTCGTTGGTGTTTTCATTTGGGATGAATGAAAATGGTGAGAAATGATTGGAAATTACCTGGATTGGAACCAGTGCTGTACTTGAAGATGGGGCTACAGAATCCTTCTTTTTCTTCCTTTTAATTGTAACCCATTCTGAGGACTTTGGGATGCCTGCATTACTGATGTGGTCTTGAGAGGGGCTAAGAATTGCAGTTGAGCTGATTAAGTTTTGCCCCTTGAGTGGAAAGGGATTGATTAAATTCAGTGGACAAGAGGATTCAATGTGATTCAACTGGAGACACTTATTGCAAAAATTTGGAAGCCATTAATACTCCACTCTGATTTGGTTAAGAGAACCATCCTCAAGTCTGATGGGGACTTCATTCTTCAAGGGCTTGGTTAAATCCAAACTTACACAGATTCTGGCAAATTTGAGTTTAGTGATAGATTCAGGGGCATGATCAGCATAAAGGGGTTCTCCAACTGCATTAACAATATGACTCAGACCTTTGGCAGACCAGTATTGCATGGGAATGTTATGGAACTTAATCCAAGTGGGAATGCAACCAACATGGGTTGGGAGGGAAGAATTTTGCTGGTTCCATTTCATGAGGGAGAATGGGTGACCAACTATGGACCATGGTCCAAGTGATAGAACATTTTCAGCCTCAGAACATATGGTGAATCTGAAAAGGAAAGAATTATTTTCACCAAGAATTTTGTCTGTGAGTCCAAGCGATTTCCAAAGCTTTGTTGCTGCAGCTTGGATAACTTTGAAGGGAATTCTCTTGTGTGTGGAAATGTTAAGAAGGTGAGTTGAGGACCAGAACTGAAGACCCTCTTCTGTAACTTCCTTTGGTGGAGAAATGAGGTTTGAATCAGTAGGTAGAGGAATGAACTCGAAAACCATCTTCCCATTACTCTATTTGACCACTTCAGACCAGGATTTGGCCTGTGGACCATTGATATGCTGTAATAGAGTAGAAGGTTGGGCTGTGTTGACCTCTGTAGCTGCTGTGGGATTTGTGTAGGTAGTATTCTTTATGGTAAGGTTTGCATTAATTGCTTCAGAAGCATACCTCGCAGAGCTAGGAGTAGGTATTGTAGCTTGTGGGTTTCTGTGTGTGACAGGAAAGTAGGTAGTTTCCTTGCTAGAATGGGAAGGTGAAACATGTGAAGTAAGTCCATGATGTGTAAAAGTGGATGACTTGTTAGCATTCAAATTCAAATTTAAATTTGAAACTGGTCCCACCATGTGGACTTGGTCTTCGCCGGGAAAAGTGGTGGTTGCTGGTGGTGGTTGCTGCATGGTTGAGCCGCCTTCAACTGGAGGAAATGGAGATGGAGGTGGAGGGAGGTCTTTCTGGGACTTGAGCAGGACAATTTCTGATTTGAGTTTTTCGATGATCTTCTTGATGTCTCTGTACATATCAATTGCTTTGCCAAGGTTTTCGTCTTTCCATTGAAGTTCCTCTGTTAACCTCTCTATTTGGTGGCCAGGTGAGTTATACAACAGAGGGTTGAAGTTCCTAGGCAAATAAGGAGTGGGAGATGGTGGATGGAATGGGGTTAGCTTGTTTGGAAGGAGGTGGTGGTTTTGGGATTGATGGTTTAGAGCGTGATGGGTGGGACATAGGTGCTTTGGGCCCTTTAGAGATGGGGGGGACATTTTGTGGAACATTATGTGGGATGTTGTTGAGAATGTGGATTGGTTTAGTGGTTGGAGGTGGGAAATTTGGGCCTGGCATGGGTGGAGGGTAGACTTGGGTAAGGAGGTTGGATGGAGGAGGCTTTCTGGGCGTGGTTTCTTTGGTAGGAGGTTTCTGCATAGGTGTCTTTGATATGTTGGGTGGTGAGGCTGTGAAAATTTTTGATAACTTGACTGGTTGGGAAACATTTGAACTGGTATGAGATGGTAAAAAGGGTGGTTTCAGATGGTTCTGTATGTGGTTAGAAACAGAGGGAGGATTATGGAGGTTGGTAGAAACCTGGGGGAAAGAAGAGTTATGGTGCGGTGGGTTGAGGGTAGAGCTTTGATGGCGATGGTGGAGACCAATCTTCGTCTTCATGGCGTATTTCTTCTTCAACACAATTGTATATATGTTTTGTCTTTAGAGGGTATATGAAAATTTCAAAAATCATGTTGACATAATATTTATTGGGTTTGGTTTTTGGGAGGCATATGAAAAATCTAAGAATTATGAATTTTTAGCTTGTATAGCGACTATGTTTTACAAGACTTTGTTTTGTTCAGTAACAAATCAGCCTCTCACTCAATTTATAGACAATGGCCTTGCAATGAATGGTAATAATATAAATATTTAATTACTACGAGCATTTTTAAATTAGGTTATAGAATACTCCAAATAAATATATGTATACTTTATACAATTTTATACCACTCTAAATAACTCTACACAATTTTATGCAAGCAGACACTTGTTTAGAGAATTCTAAAAAGTCCTTCCAATACGTTGAATCGATATGTTATATGAATTGGACTTATTTTCAAACACCCCAATACTATTATTATTAACCATGGCCTCAATAAATATATACATATATTTTTAGGAGAGTTCTTATTGGGAGACAAGTACATGTGTATGTGTATGTGTATGTGTATGTATATGTATATGTATCTTTCAAGGACTTGGATCCTCTAAGTTAAATCTTCTTTAAGTTATCTTAAATTGAATTCTCTGCCGATTGAGCTTGTGTGAAACCACGTCAACTAATTTAAAAAAAATTTGATAAGAAAATTTACCAAAACTAATTTAAAGAAAGTTTAAAAACTGCACCATATTGAGATAAAAAAAATTTACCAAATTTTGATAACTGTGCCGTTTTGAAATAAGGAAAATTCATCATACTTCTCTCCTCATTTTGTCCGAAAAAAATCGCTCACTCTCTCTCCTTTTGCTTATTCCCATGAATAGGGAAATATTTAAGCCTTTGTAATGGATTTTGTAATTTAAATTTCAGAGAAATTTTGCAGTTTAGATTTCAGAAAGAGAGGGTGAACCACAGCAATTTTGCCGATTAAATTTCAAGAAAGAGAAGATATGATCTAGTCCCATATTTCATGGGGGCAATTAGCCGCTGAAATTTTTTTAATTTTTTTTTAGTATTAAATCCTTCTAATTTTTTTTAAAATTTTTTTATATACCTTTAAAATTCTACTATATGATAAAATTTCTCTATTATCCCCTCACAAAATTTTCTGCTCCATCCTGTTTAGACCGTAATAATTTACGGGATGTAAAAGGAAACTAACTGATCAAGCAATTAAGCCAATTAGATGTTGAGAGAAAATCAATTTGTGAATTTAAAATTCATAGGACATACACTGTAAATTAGTCATAGGACATACAGCCTCTGTTGATTGGATGAAGGCCATTTTCTTCACCCGATCCAAGTGGAGCAGAACCAACTAGACTTCAGTCTTGACATTTTTTATTTTTATTTTTATTTTTATTTTTATTTTTTTTCAGTCTTGACAATTTTCTGTAAAGGATATCCATGATTCGAAAATTGTGTGTATATAATATATAATATTTTAAATCTAAAAAGTTATTTTAGTGTGCCTTTTCAATATATGCATTTCCCAAACACATCCTTATTCCTTCATCATCTCTCTTCCCCAAACCGCCCTCATTCGGCTCAAAACAACCTTAAACGGTTCACATCTCACGAGACTGAACCGGTCTCTCTCTCTCCCCAAAGAATTTCGTGCATCTTCTTGCTGAATGTAAGGTCTAGGGTTTGAGATCTTCGTAAAGACACAGATTTAGTTATTACTGTTGTGCTGCAAATGGAGGAAAGGGCGCGAGAAGTTCTCTACGAGACACGTCATCACGCTTCCAGGCCTTACTTGCCCAATTACCCTCCTCAACATCAACAGGTCTCTCTCTCTAAATCTCTCTATTTGTATTCTTTCATTTTACTTGCAATCCCTTGATGTTCAGGAATTAGAAGCTTTCTTCTCCTAATTTTCCCTAATTTTTGTTCTGTTAAATTCAGCTAAATGAGGGTGTTAAAGGGAGTTTTCTATCACTGCTTTCCACTCGAGGTATATTCAATTTTCACTTTCTTAACTATCTGCACAAGTTTAAATCTTTTGAATTGCATTTTGCACATACATATACAAAATCGTATCTATATGTGTGTCTGTGTAGCAGATGAGAACGTTGTTAATTTGATTCATAGTTCATGTAGTTGTTGGTTTTGGCTCTATAATCCGAGATTTTTATTAAAATGTACTGGCACGCATTAATTTTAATGTGTTAATATAAGCTAATCTCAACCAATGGACATTAGTCCAGATGGTATGATCTCTCCTCCCCATTGGATTTGAGAGTTCGAACCCTGCTAGGGGCAATATTGTGGGTGGGTGCGTGTTTGCTTGAACTTGAGGGGAAAAAGTATATATAAGCTAATCTCCAATTTATGTTAATATAATGTAGCAGATAAGAATCTTGGCTAGTTCAGTATTTATTTATTTATTATTATTATTTTCACACACACACAATCCTAAATTTACATTAAGAGGTATAGGCATGCACTAATGTTTAATGTGTCAATATAAGTTAATCTTCATTTGTTGTTGAAGTATTAGACACAATTGGCTTAGTATATGTATTTTTTCATATATGGGATAATGTAATAGCAGGAGGGTTGGATTTGTTTATCTCAAAGCAAGATTGTAGTTTATCAACAGGAGGCAGAGAAAGCAGCAATCTGATCTTTTGTATATTTGATTTACTTGAAAGAATTCACATATAAATGGCACCATTCTTATATGTGTGTGTATCTATTTCAAAAGTATTATAATTGGGCTACTTGTGGCATGTGCTTTTGATATACGTGTTCAAAAGGGAAGCCATATCTGCTTTTTTTTTTTTTTTTTTTTCCTTTGTGATTTTTTCTTTTCAATTTCCTGTCTGAGGCAAAAAAGATTGTTGTTGTCCGTTTTTATGATCAATGACTTCGTTTTTGCATATTACTATCTTTGTCACTTTCGTAAAATGACTTGATTGATGCAAACTTGTACATTGCTGATCTCTTTTTCTTTCTCTATGCCATGAAGGTGTTAGTCAACTTAAAGAAAAATGGAGTGAATATAGGCGTCCAAGAAAATTAAGGAAATGCACATCCTTGTTTGTCTCTCCAGGAGGCAAGCATGTGGCTATAGCCGCTGGCAATCGAATAACCATTTTGCAAAAGGATGATGACTACCAGGAGACATGCGGCTTTTTTACCAGTAAGATTCACTTGCTGATTTATGTAATAATGTAGACGAAAGCAGCACATGGAAGTAGTGGGAACTTTTTATCATTTTACGTCACATTACAGGATTTTACGAAGATTATGTATTAAAATTGAGGACGGTGACAAAATTCTTCTGAATTGATCAACATCCCCCGTGCACCAATAAGAGAGAGAGAGAGAGAGAGAGAGAGAGAGAGAGAGAGAGAGATTCAAGAAAGAAAGTTTTGTTTCTTTAATAACCTTTTAAGTATATTATATATATATCAACGCATAAGAGCAAAAAGAGTATAACTTGTTAATACATACTTTCATTCATATAAATCAATGAACCTAACTTCACCTTTGATTTTAAAAATAAAATACTAATCTTTACCGATGCATAGCATGTTTGATACTTGTTGATGATATGTGAGGATGATCTCTGAAGGCACTAGATTGAAAATGACGTTAGAATATCCCCCTCTACCTTCTTAAATTGTTATGAATGCAACTATTTCCAATTCTATATTTTCTTGTATTTACCTAATCCATCTCGATAGTCTCGTTCCTGTGACATCTATTTCATTGAGATGTGTATTAGTTGCTCTGCATTATGTAAATAACGTGGATTTTCTTAAAATTATAGCCCTCTCTCTCTCTCTCTCACACACACACACACCTGAAAAGTAACTGACCTAAGACGGCTGATGTGGCCATTTTTGGTATTTCTTACTCCGGGCCATCTATCTTGAGTGTTCTCTAGTTTCCATTTCTTTACATACTAAAATGACACTTTATGAATCCTTAGTCCTGTTTAGTTCTCCCTCCCTCTCTCTCTCTATATATATACATATTTATACACACACACCCACATATATTATGTACTTAGATATGTGTGTGTATATGATTGTTGTTTTATCTTACAATGTACCTCCACCCGGTCTCACCAGTTTATGTTAAGCTTCAACAGACAGCATTTAATATTGTACCTTCTCCAATATGTGTCTTGTAAATGCATCCATATTTGATGAAATGAGTTTCTGGTTATTAGAAATCTGTACGTCTGATCTCTAGTTCCTGCCAATTATAGCTCATTATGCTTGTCCTTGAGGATGCCTCATATCTTTAGATATTCCAGCTTTTTCTAAATTTACCATGCTATCTTCTCAGGATAAATAATCATATGTTCCCAAAAACCAAGATGAGAATTTTCCTCTTCCCACTAATAACCTCCATCAATTGACTAAGGATATAGCTACTGTTTACATTACCAATTTCTGATTTTCTTATTTGTATTTTACTTGCTTATAATTTAGGACCTGTCAAGTTGAGGAGGGAAATAATCTTCTGGTAGATTTTCATTCACCCCTTGGTTTAGCGTTGTTAGAACTCAAATTGTTGAAAATGGTCGCCCATGAAGAAATGTTTGTTCTATGTTATCTTGCATTTCATTCATTTGTAACACTGATTTTGACTTGCATTCTTTGCAATCAGGTGGTAGCCTAGGCACATTTCTGTTTGGAACATGGTCAGAATCTCACGATATTCTTGGTGTTGCTGATGACACTAATACACTCTATTTTATCAAAGCTAATGGTGAAGAGATAACAAGAATCTCAAAACGGCATTTAAAAGTATCGTCACCAATTATTGGTTTGATCTTGCAGGATGACGCTGATACAAATAATTCTTGTTTGTAAGTTTTTATTTTGTCAGCAATCCCTGCATAACATATGTTGAGTTGGAGGGTGTTATTTTTGACTATTTGTTAAGTTCAATATCTCTGTTTGACCAGTACATCCACAGCAGTTTAGTGAATCCTTATTCCTCCTCACAGATGTACCTTCAAAATTCTTACATCAGATGGTTCTCTTCATGACATTGAGATCAGTCAGGATCCCAGTGCATCCATTTCCTCTGCACACACCTCAAATATTGGCTCAACTCTAAAGAAGCAGTTCCCTCAAAATGTCTTCTGCTTGGATTACCATCCAGAAAGTTTTTTGCTTGCTGTAGTTAGTAGTGCTGTTAGCATCTCACTGATCTCTGGTAACCCAGGTAATATTTGCACTCGTTTTCCCTCTTTCTTTATTTCTTTCAGAATGCATAATTTTATTGCATGCTCTTTGAAATTTTTAAACTTGAGTAGATCTCTATCTAGCTGAAACTTTATCTTGTATACTTGCGATTGTTATTTCAAAACCAGAAAATCAGTGGTCCCGCCCACAACTTCTTTGCATTTAACATAACAAGATGACCAGATGACTTTTGAATGTTGATTTTGTTTCTTCCTTTAAACAGTCAATGTATTCCAGAAAATGCTGAGTAAGTCTTTGTTTTAATCCAAAGTCGATTATGCTTATATTAGCAGGGAAATCTCATTTAGTAAACCCAATGGCGTGATCCTTAATCACTATGTACATGAATTATTTGCAAACTTGAATACCTATGTTGTATCTATTTCTCAGGCCCTAGATGCTCTTTAAATTTTTTTTTTTTTTGAAGTGAACTTTTTCTTTTAATATTCAATTATGTATAGGAAATGGAAAGGGCCCTTTGACTAGAACGGCAAGATTTTCTTACATGAATTTTATTTATTTATTTATTATTTTTTGAAAAATTCATTTTTATATGCAAACTATCAATTGTTCATTTTTCTCTCTCTAGGATCATGTAGTCTCTCTCTTTGGAGAAGAACTGGGAACTTCAATATGGAATCACTGTATTCTGCACAGTTTGAAGGTTTATATTCCAAACCAAAAGGTTATGAAGGTCAATTAACATCTCCAAAGGTGCTAATCTCACCTCAGGGCAAATTTATTGCTACATTAGATTTGAGAGGTTGCTTGGCCATTTTTAAGCTGGATGAAGGACACAGCTCTCTTTCAGATTTTTACACTATGTCAAGTAGAGGGAGGCATTTCTTGAATGATATAATGGATTTTACTTGGTGGTCTGACTATATCCTTGCTCTTGCGGAGATTAGTGGCACCATAACCATGCTTGACATTCTTGGTGGTGTTAAAGTATTGAAGAATGATCATGTATACTCTATGCCCATCTTAGAAAGAGTACCGCAGTTCCCAGGACACCTTTTTCTTTTAGAGAGTAAATCGTCAGAGGAGAGCCATGAATCATCTGATAAGAAGGCAGTGAGTGGCTTGCATCGTATAGAGCGAGTTACTGAAGATGAATATGATCCGTTTTTCATTTCTAAACTGCATTGGAGCTTGGTATCATTTTCAGAGAAATCTGTTTCTGAAATGTATGATATATTGATTAGAAATCATGAGTATCAGGCTGCTCTGGACTTTGCTAATCGTCATGGGTTGGATAAAGATGAAGTGCTAAAGTCAGAGTGGTTGCATTCTGGCCAAGGAATAAATGGAATCAAAATGTTCCTGTCAATCATCAAGGATCAAGATTTTGTACTTTCTGAATGTGTAGATAGAGTTGGACCCACAGAAGATGCAACTAAGGCTTTAATTGCTTATGGGCTCCACCTAACAAACCAGTATAGATTTTCTGAAGCAGAAGATGTTGAACATAGCCAAATTTGGGATTACCGTCTGGTGAGGCTCAAATTATTGCAATTCAGAGACAGGCTGGAGACATTTCTTGGGATAAACATGGGCAGGTAAGGATGCTGTTCAAAAATTATATTTTTTTTATGTGATAGCTAATATAGATGAGTAATGTACATAATTATCACCTTTATTTCACGTATGTCAGTGTAGGGTATCCATGGAGCCTTGTAATTGCTTGAACTTGCACTAATAGAGAATCTCCAAATACGACAGTGCAGTTGCATTTTAACAATGTTTCTGTTTCTTCCATTGGGAGTCTGTTTTTGAAGTGTTTCCCATAATATGTGTATTCGTGCAGGAGCTGAACATTGCAAAACTGTTTGATATTGACAATAAATTTCCATTTATCTCATGCTGGTCTTGTACTCAATATTTTTGCACACATAATCTCTTAACTAAACTTATTGGTATATGTGATGTTGTGGCCCGAATTTGGTGTTGGGTCACGTTGGGACCCGCTTACGACCCGACGACCCGTTGGATGAGCTTTGTGTTAGCCCAAGCTCATGGGTCGTGGACATAAGGGCACTGAAAATCGTACAGAGAGAGTGAGGGGCTGAAACTTGTAATTTTTCGATTTTACACATGGTGAAGACTTTCGCCGGATCTCCACCGTGGACGTAGACATTTCCGAACCACGTATAAATCTCTGTGTGGTGTGTTTATTTTTCTATCGTGTTTCGTAATTGTTGCTTGGTTCGCTGCGTTTGTCGTAACAATATACTTTCTTTTCAGTTTTTTTTTTTCTTTTTCCTTTTTTTTTTCGAGTGGCTCTCTAAATCTGTATCGATCTAAGGGGTATCCTCTATTTTTTGCAGAGAAATACAATATTGAAATACTGTAAGCTAAAGAGAAATACTTTTTCTCTCCATATGTTCTTGTTTATCTACACTTGGGTGTTATGGGATCTTGTAACTGAAACATTAAAGTTTCCACGTTTCTCAAACCCAACTAAAGATTATTATCTCTATTAAAATTTATTGAAGCATTTGTTGACACAATGAAAATTTAGGTATTCCCCATCTTTTCTCATTTACTTTAAGATGTATGAAGAATTTCTTTAGTTTGATCTTCCCCCAACCTTGGGGATGTTTTCAGACACTTCCCTCATGAGATGCAGTTGGATTTGGATAGTTCACCTGATATGAATAAATCATTGATATGATGTTATATTCCATGTAGTTGGACAATATAAATTTTCTACTTTTATTTCTGCATCTACTAGGTATCTCTTCCTCATGGTTTCTGCTTACTCACAATTTGATTGCTTAGCCTTCTGTAGGTTTTCTGTGCAGGAGTACTCCAAATTCCGTGTTATTCCAATCAATGAAGCTGCTGTAGCACTTGCAGAAACTGGGAAAATTGGGGCCTTAAACCTTCTTTTCAAGCGTCATCCTTATTCGTTGACTCCTTTCATGTTGGATATTTTAGCTGCTATCCCTGAAACAGTTCCAGTTCAAACATATGGACAGCTTCTTCCTGGGCATTCTCCTCCTTCAAGTATTGCTCTGAGAGAAAAAGATTGGGTTGAATGTGAAAAGATGATGGCATTTATTGACAGACTCCCTGTGGAGCATGAGGGTAGAGTTCAGATCAGAACTGAACCAATTGTCAATCAGTGCTTAGGAAATTTGTGGCCATCAACTCTTGAACTCTCTAGATGGTACAAAAAGAGAGCTACAGATATTGATAGTTTAAGTGGGCAGCTAGAGAACTGCCTCTCATTGGTTGACATTGCTTGTTGCAAAGGTATTTGTGAGTTGCAGCAGTTTCATGAGGATATTTCATACTTGCATCAGCTTATTTATTCTGATGTCGGTGATGACGCGATGAATTTTACCATGAGCCTTGTTGAATGGGAAAAGTTATCTGACTATGAGAAATTCAAAATGATGCTTAACGGAGTTAAAGAGGAAAATGTGGTTGAAAGATTATGCAATAAAGCAATTCCTTTTGTGCAAAAACGGTTTCATATGATGACCCCACGTTCTGACGATGAGGTATTGGATGATCATTCTACCGTAGATAAGAAAGCTGACTCATTTCTGGTTAGATGGCTGAAGGAGATTGCTTTGGAAAATAAATTAGACATATGCTTGATGGTCATTGAAGAAGGTTTCAAGGATTTGCCAAATGAGAACATTTTCAGGGATGAGGCTGAAGTGGTAGATTGTGCTCTGCAATGCATTTATTTGTGCTCTGTTACAGATAGGTGGAGTACCATGTCCTCCATTTTGTCAAAACTTCCACAACTACGAGGTAATTTTGCTTTTATGGATTCGATCTGCAGACATGAAATCTATGATCTGTTCAGTTTTTCTGATTAGCATGATCAATATTCATGTTGAAATATGATGGTTGAACATCCATGACTTGGAATGAGGCATGATTCTTATTTTTGCTCCATCTTTTTCTGAAAATAGTTTGTGTGGGGTAATATTTTATACCATTAAATCTTTTACATGAAGTATATAAAAAAAAATTATTCCTCTTTTTTTTGTTGCGTGGCTGGGAAACAACATGCTATACTACAATTTCGTTAATTGTTGAGAATCTTCCCTGTTCTGTTGTTGGGCTGTACATCTAGAATAGCTTGAAAATTTATAAAAAGTTTACTTCTTATGGAATAATTATAACACAATAGACACGCAAGTGATCTAGCGTAGTTGATATCAATGGCTGTTCTCTTTGAGGCAGTCGAGAGGTCAATTCCTCATCAAGTGACCCTTAGAAAATTAATTTGCATAATTCTGATACATGAGTCTTGCCTTAAATTTTCTATAAGGGTATGCATTGCATGGAGAAACATCTTACCCATAACTAGAATTACCAGTGTAGAGCATAGGGAAGCATAATTAACAATAGCTGAAGGAAAACGCTTGCCGTATCCTGGATGGCTAGTTTGATTTTATTCAATATGCTAAACATTTCTTGAAATCTATCATTTTGTTACCATGTTGCTAATCTAATACTCCCTCCGTCCCATTATACTTGTTTTGTGAGTCACAGTTCCCAAAGTGGACAAGTATTATATGACAGAGGGAGTAAATGGAACAAAAACTGCTTTCAGACACAGCTAAGAAATCTATGATAGTGCTGAGTATGGGTGAATTGGTTGGTTTTGTTAGGCTAAGATTACGAAAGCCTATTGGTTAGCCCTTAAAAACAAGAAAGTTGTAAGATTTGTAAAATGAAAAGGGTTTGTACTGAACTTGGTTTCAAAGGTGATTGTTGGAATTGCATAGAATCAGTTGTCAGATATTCTGGAGAACACTTGGTTTGGGGGGCCTCAAATCAGAAGTTAGCTGTAGTGGAAAGGTTAGGGTGGTGAATTGAGGTTTCTAGGAATGAAACTAATATGAAGGTTTGATTGTAATTAAGACAATAATAATAATAATAATAATAAAAATCAGATTGTATGGTTTTAAAGTGAAGAGGAAATTTTTCTAAGAATCTCACGTAGATTTTTTATTCCTTAGGCTTTTTGCCTAAGGTTAGTTTGCATCATACATCACAAAATGGTTCAAAAGTTTCTCAAATTCTCAAAATTCAACTCAATAGATAGATAAGCAACATAAATAGTTATAGGTTTCTATATATATATTTTTACCTCTATTGGGATCAAGACTTCAAAATAGGAAGCATTGAAAGTATCAAATCGTTATAACTTGATCCAAATTAAAGATCCATGCACCGCAACTTTAGTTGGTGTCTTGTAAATCTTGAAGTTCCAAAATGCTCTCGACTCCGGTTTTCGTATTTAAAATATAAATAAAAAAATTATATTAGCAATGGTAAAAGGTTGTCTGATTGTGACCTGTAGGTCACAGGTTCAAAACAGGAAACAGCCTCTCCGCATGCAAAGGTAAGGCTGCATACTCTCCCAATACCCTGCAGTGGCTGGAATCTCATGCACTGAGCTAGCCCGTTTTATTAACATTTCTTTTTATTAGCAAATTGTTAACCTAAAATTGGTATGAAATAACACGATTAAATATATATAATTCTCAATTTGTCAATAGCATACTTTGGAACTTTGACTACTAAGACTATTTTCACCCTGCTAAAAGGCCACATGTGAAGACCCAATAGCTTGAATTGACCAAAATACCCGAGGCATTCTGATAAGAAGGAAATATATGTCGTATATGGATTTCAAGAGGGTCCAAAATTTCAAGTTTGAGTTACATTGCATCACGACTAAATATGTTTCTTTTATTACTCCCCTGCCCCATCTTCTTTCTTCGCTTTTATATATGTTATGCTTTTACAGAAATTATATAGTTACTGCCACCATGGATACGGGGTATGCTATTTCTGAATATAATTGAGAATACATGAGCCTTGCAGATTCTGATGTATGTACTAAGGGCCTCGAGAAAAGACTTAAAATGGCTGAAGGCCATATTGAAGCAGGAAGGCTTTTGGCATTTTACCAGGTTATATGCTCTCTTCTATAAATAACGATTTTTGTGTCTTTTAGTATTTGGGATTAAATGTATGAAGTTTCTGGATTTCCTTTCTTTTCATGGACGACGGCCTAAAAGTCAGCACTCAGTGCTAATAATGTTCGAGGATGTAATTTTTTCTTCAGCCTCTTGATAGGCAGAATTTTATAATTCGGCTTGAGGGATGTCTTCTCATGCAAACTCTTTGAAATAGTTACTTTAATCAGTGGGAATTTTTCTTTGACAATCTTTTAATGTTGTAATTATACTTTAGCCTCTTGATGGGCTTAGATTTCTGCATTACATCTTGAGAGATGTTGTCTCGTGCAAAGCCTTTTTGGAAGTGTCTTTTAATCAGTGGGAAATTTTGCTTGTTGGAATTGGAAATGCAGCTATTGTGTTTAATGGATTGTTGTAGGCTTGTAACGGAATTGACTTTACATCATTCAAGTGCTTGGAAATTCTATGCATTGCGTGGGATTTGGTGCTGCCTATTTTGGTTTTGATTTTCTTGTATTTGGAAGACCATTTATGCTTAGGCTATGCATTCCTCTGATTAATTGGCATTCTTTTAATTCTTATGTTCATATGAGGAAATAGCGTTAAATACTTGAAGTTGCTTAGCTTCTCTTGCCATCTAGGAAGCAATAATGCGTTTTCAACCATTGCTGCTACCGGTGAGGCCATCTTTCAGTCTCCTGGGAACACAAGGCCCCGGTTCGGTTCAGTTTTTTTTTTTTTTTTTCCCCTCTCAATAATAATAATTTATGGCTTCTTGATATTGTTGCTCATTCTTTTTGGATCTCTTGGATATTGGATCATTAAGTGGAGTCTTTTGCAAGATGTTGGGAGTTTGTCTCCATATATTTTACATAGCTTTCTTTTTGTAAGCTTCTAGGTTTTTTGTTCCTTGGTATTGTGTTCCCTTGGCAATCATAGTGAATGATTCTTATTAAAAAAATGAGGGTTTGGGAGCCGCAAGTATACATGAAACCATCTGGGACCATCGTAGTAACAATTTTGGTATATAGATGTTAATGATTATACATTCAACTCTCTAATAATAAGTAGCTAGGGTAGGACATGTACCATGTGTGTCTCCCACCTCATTCTATGTGTTCTGCTGTTCATTTATTCCCAGCACTAGCATTTTCCTTGTCTTTTTTTCAAATTTTGGCAATTTTTGCTATTTGTTTTCTGGTCAGATTGAGAAACTGCTCCCATACAAAGTTTTGGTGAGATGGTGAAGTTGTTGGCATAATAAGATAGAATAGATCTTTAGATATGCTAAATATATTAATAGATTTATGGAGATGTGAAATATGTTACTTAATTTAAGTGTTCTTTTGTCTCCAGTTATGATTAGTCGAAAGCTTTTTCAATCTTCTCTCTCTCATGCGTTACATGTGTGTGTGTGTGTGTATGAAAGATGTTCCATATTCTTTTCCAATTATATTACCAAGAATTTTATAAACAAAATATATCTCATGTCTACTAACTGTACTCGATGTAGAAATGGAAAAACATGTAAAAATTATTTAAAAATTTAATTATTAACTTAAATGCTGGTGAGATAAGCAACTTACCTTCGTATGTTTATTTTTGAATATGTGAGTTTATTATTAACTTTTTTTTCCCTTGATTTTCAATACCTGTATCCATTTTAAAATTGATAATATAATAGCATTTTAGAAAAGATTATTTATTGTTAAATATCATCCTTTAAGTAGAATTATTAAGCGTTAATTATTAGAGGGTCAACTGTATTTGTGTACGCTAGGGGCTTAGCACATATACTGCTACACTTCATTTATGGTTGCCGTTTGTGCATGTAGTTGATCATGAAAGGCAACATCTCATTTATAATGGCACTTGCTTTTGTTCAGGTCCCGAAACCAATTAGTTTCTTCTTAGAAGCACATTCAGATGGAAAGGGGGTTAAACAGATTATTCGTCTCATACTATCAAAATTTATTCGTCGACAACCTGGTCGATCTGATAGTGATTGGGCTAGCATGTGGCATGACATGAAGAGCTTGCATGAGAAGGCATTTCCTTCTCTAGATTTGGAGTATATGTTGATGGAATTCTGTAGGGGACTGCTGAAAGCTGGGAAATTTTCTCTTGCAAGGAACTATTTAAAAGGCACAGGTACAGTTGCTCTGGCAACAGAGAAGGCAGAAAATATTGTCATTCAAGCTGCAAGAGAGTATTTTTTCTCAGCTTCAAGTTTTGCTTGCTCTGAAGTAAGTATTCGTGCAGGTTATGCTTTAATGATTATATATGGCTACATATATTCTTCTGCAATTTATTGATTAAGTTGCTGGAACTTGTTTAGATCTGGAAAGCAAAAGAATGCCTGGATCTCTTTCCTAATAGCAGAAATGTGAGGGCGGAGGCTGATATCATCGATGCACTTACTGTCAAACTTCCAAACCTTGGAGTGAATATTCTACCTGTGCAATTTAGGAATATAAAAGATCCAATGGAAATCATTAAATTAGCAATTACAAGTCAAGCAGGAACTTATTTAAATGTTGATGAACTTATTGAGATTGCCAAACTTCTTGGATTGAGATCTCAGGATGAGATATCCGTTGTTCAAGAAGCTATTGCAAGAGAAGCAGCAGTTGCCGGTGATCTGCAACTGGCTTTTGATCTCTGCCTTGTTTTGGCTAAAAAGGGTCATGGTTCTATTTGGGACTTGTGTGCTGCAATGGCAAGAGGCCCTGCCCTTGATAATATGGATGTAAATTCTCGAAAGCAGCTTCTAGGTTTTGCTTTGAGCCACTGTGATGACGAATCCATTGGGGAGCTGCTACATGCATGGAAAGATCTAGATTTGGAAGGTCAATGTGAGGCATTAATGATGTTAACAGGGACAACTCCTCCCAAATTCTCAGCTCATGATTCCTCAATTACAAACTTTCCACTGCATAGTACTCAAGATGTAGGTGATGTAAGAGATCTATCTGGACAGATAGATGGTCTCAGTGGTGATGATCAAGAACTTCATCTTCATAACAACAAAAATATACTTTTGGGTATTGCTAAAGACTTGCCTGTGGAGAATGAGACTGATTGGGATTCTCTACTTAGGGAAAATGGAAAAGTTTTGTCTTTTGCTGCTTTACGACTTCCATGGTTGCTTGATTTATGTCGGAATGCAGAACTAGGTAAGAAATTGATTCCTGGCTTGGTCCCTGGAAAGGCTGGAATGCAATATGTGAGTATCAGAATGAAAGCAGTGGCAACTATTCTGTCCTGGTTGGCAAGGAATGGTTTTGCTCCGAGAGATGATCTCATTGCCACTCTAGCAAAGTCAATTATAGAACCACCTGTTACCGAAGAGGAAGATATCATGGGGTGCTCCTTTCTGTTAAATCTTGTAGATGCCTTTCATGGGGTGGATATAATAGAAGAGCAGGTGAGAACAAGGGAGGAGTACCATGGAATATGTAGCATTATGAATGTGGGAATGATATATAGTTTATTGCACAACTCTGGACTCAAGTGTGAGGGTCCCGCTCAGAGGAGGGAGCTACTGATGAGGAAATTTCAAGAGAAGCACAGACCACTTAGTTCAGGTTACTTCTACTTCTCAAAACCCTATGATCAAGACTCATACATTTTGTTTCTGCTCTTTTACATACAACAGTCCCTGGTATCCATAAGTTGCTGCAAGGCAACGTATCTCCTTTTGTATGTTATTGTTATTATTTTGCTTCTCATATCCTATCTTTTGTGTTCAGATGAACTAGACAAAATTGACAAAGCACAATCCACATTTTGGAGAGAATGGAAGTTGAAATTAGAAGAACAAAAACGTGTGACAGATCAATCTAGAGTGTTGGAGCAAATAATTCCTGGGGTTGAAACTGCACGATTTTTATCTGGGGATGTCAAATATATTGAGAGTGTTGTTTCCTCTCTCGTTGAATCTGTTAAGTTGGGGAATAAGCGCATCTTGAAGGACGTGTTGAAATTAGCTGATATTTATAGCTTGAATCGCACCAAGGTGTGCAGGTTTGCTTGTATCTTTGAAGGCATATTTAATTTGATGCTGCTATTTAATTTATCAAAGATAATTTTTGCTTGTTTTCTTTCAGGTTTTGCTACAGTACCTGAACTCTGTCCTTGTTTCTGAGGTCCGGACTATTGACGATATCGATGCTGAAATTTCAGTTTTCAAAAGAGAGATACTTGCTTGTGCTGCAGTAGCTATCAAAGTAATTTCCTCAATTGTCTACCCTGCAATTGACGGACACAACAAACAGCGCGTTGCTTATGTATATGGCCTGCTTTCTGACTGCTACTTACAGTTGGAAGAAACTAAAGAATCATCACCAATGATCCACCCAGACCAAGCAAATATTACTACCCTCCCATTATCTCTTTTCTATAAGGTTCTTGAGCAAGAATGTAGTAGGGTGTCCTTTATTAAAGACCTGAACTTTAAAAATATTGCTGGGTTGGGTGGTTTGAACTTTGAGTGTTTCAGCAGTGAAGTCTATGCTCATGTTCATGAATTTAATGTGGAAGCCTTGGCAAAAATGGTTCAGACCCTTGTTGGCATCTATACCGATCCAATGCCTAAGGGTCTGATATCATGGCAGGATGTCTACAGACATTATGTTCTGGGTTTGTTGACAAGTTTGGAGACTGTATCCAAAAAAGAAACACATTTTGAAACCCCTGAAAACCTTCAAGGCTTAATAAGTGAGCTCGAGCAGACTTATGATGTTTGCAGAAGTTATATCATAGTCATGGCATATCCTGATGTTGTGGACATAATGAAGCGGTTTTTCACAGTGATCACTCCTCTTGGTAATTGTTTCGAGAACCTATCAAACGACTCCTCATGGAAGGACTGTCTCATTGTGCTATTAAAGTTTTGGCTTAGACTGACTGATGATATGCGGGAATTCGCATCCCATGAGAGGTCAGAAGAAGAGTATAATCCAGAAGGTTTGATGAGGTGTCTCAGGGTTTTTGTTCGGTTGATAATGGAGGGGAGAGTCTCACCAAGTCAAGGCTGGGAAACTATTGTTGGCTATCTGAACTACGGCTTCAAAAGCAGTATTGCTGTTGACATTTCCGTTTTCTGCAGAGCAATGGTTTTCTCTGGTTTTGGGTTTGGAGCCATTGCAGAATTATTTTCTGAAGCCGTATTAGAATTTCCTGCCTGCTCAACATTGATCACTGACAGTGAAATATACTCTGATAATGTTCAGGATCTTTGCCATTTTTATTCAAGTATATTGGAAACCATTTTACAAGACTTGGCCACTGGATCCTTTGAACGCCATAATTTATGTCGTTTATTGTCATCTTTGAGTAAAATTGATGGTGATTTGGAGGATCTGAAGAGGGTCAGACATGCACTCTGGGAAAGAATGGCCAAGTTCTCTGATAACTTGCAGCTACCAAGCCATGCTCGAGTCTATGTTCTGGAGGTTATGCAATTCATTGCAGCTGGAGGTACAAATTTGAAGGCGTTTTCTGCCGAGCTACAATCCAATGTTATGCCATGGGAAGGATGGGATCATTTCGATAGCATAACTTCAAACGCAGATACTATTGCTGATCATGGAGTGCCAATTCAAACAGATGGGTCTAGTAGGTTTAGAACTACTTTGGTTGCACTTAAATCATCACAGCTGGGGGCAGCTATCTCACCTGGCATAGAAATTACCACGAAAGATATTTTGACTCTGGATTCAGCAGTTTCTTGCTTCCTCAAATTGTGTGGAGCTGCTACTTCTAAGCCCCATTTTGATTCTTTAATAGCCATTTTGAGAGAGTGGGAGGGGCACTTTACAGTTAAGACAGATGAGGGTGAGGCAAATTCTGCAAAAGCATCCGATGCTGGTAACGATTGGAACAGTGATGATTGGGACGAGGGATGGGAAAGCTTTCAGGAAGAACCTGTTGAGAAAGACGTGAAAACAGACCACTCCCTTTCAGTTCATCCTTTACATGCGTGTTGGATTGAGATCTTAAAGAAGTTAGTAACCTTGTCCCTGTTTACTGACTTGCTAAGACTGATTGACCAATCCTTGGCAAAATCTAATGGAGTATTGGTGTCTGAAGATGATGCCTCAAGCTTGAGCCAGCTTGGACTTGGGATAGACTGTTTTCTAGCTCTTAAGATTGCGATGTTACTGCCTTACGAAGCAATTCAGCTGCAATGTTTGAATGCAGTTGAGGACAAGCTGAAGCAAGGAGGCATGTCAGACACGACTGGCAGGGACCATGAGTTTTTAGTTCTCGTGTTATCTTCTGGGCTTGTATCCACCATCATCACCAAATCTTCCTACGGAACCACTTCCTCTTATCTTTGTTATATGATTGGGAATTTCTCTCGTCAGTGTCAGGAAGCCCAGTTATCGAGCCTCAAACACAGAGCGAAGAACGGACATGAAAACAATGAGAAAGACTACTCGTCTCTTTTCAGAAGAATATTCTTCCCGTGTTTTATATCAGAGCTTGTGAAGGCAGACCAGAATATTCTAGCAGGTTTTCTTGTTACCAAATTCATGCACACTAATGCTTCGCTCAGTTTGATCAACACTGCAGAGGCCAGCCTTAGAAAGTACCTAGAAAGTCAGGTCCAAGCACCACAATACGACGAGTTCACTGTTGAGGACGTGCGCGGTTTTGAACAGTTAGCAAACACCATTTCTAACCTGAGAGGCAGGTTGAGAATTTTAATCCAATCCGCGTTATCGTCTCTGCCAACTGGTGTTAGATGATGAGGTGCTGCTTGATGTTTTTTTTTTATTTTTTATTTTATTTTATGTATCAATGCAAATGTTTTTATACAAATTAAGCTTAGAAAAGACTAACACAGAACAATTTTTCTAATTTTGGGGCGGGCTTTTTTTCATTTTCTTATACAAAATGAGTTTGTACACTTCAACATTCATGTCATCTCTCCATGAAAATTAAGATGCATTAATAAAAATATAAAAACCTAATTGGATTTGACAGGATTTCAAATTCCAATTTGTGAAGTGTTTTGAAATCCCATAAAATCTTTTAGCTGAGATGAGATTTGAAGTTGGAACGTTTTGTGTTACAGTTCTGACTTCTGAGTTGGGGTTGCGAATTCGTAGTAGTATTATGTTGGATCAAACCCATCTAAAAAAAAATTACAAATAAATTCTTAGAATATTAATTGTCTAAAGTTTTAACATGTAATAAATTAAAATTTAAACAAAAAAAAAGCTGAAAAGAAAAATTATAAATTCAATATTATATATAATATATTTGAAATAAAAAATATATATTTATAAATAATATTGAATTTAAGTTCCGATTAAATTCAGATTGATAACACCTCAATTCAAATTTAACCCTAATTAAATTTGAATTAATATTTTTAAATCTAATCTTAATAATAAAAATAATTATTCAAATCTCTAAAAAATTAGACTGGGCCAGATTGGGTGTGGGTCGACCTTTTCCGAGTTACGCCCTTGCTATGAAATTCATTTTTTTGAATTTTCACGCTAAAAGATACTAGCTTTGGCGGTAAAAATTGGACCTCGGCGGAACATAATGGAGGTTTGTTCCAAGTGTATTCACATATCGATCAAGTAGCTTCATTAATCGAACACGTGTACCCGACAATTTATTGGAAGCCACGATTGGCGAGTATTAAACTATTATATACTCGAGAGAAAATTGACTGTAATGAAAAGTTAACTAGATTTTAACCCTCAGTTCAAAAGAATAGGAAAGGACACCATAAAAAGCTAATCCTATGAGTTCTCTCTCCTCTCTCTCTCTAGACTCTGGCTCTGCAAATCTGAGCTTCGATTGTAAAGCGGAAATGGAGAGATTGCCAGCAGATTTGTGTCTAAAGATCTTCTGTTTGTTGGATCACCAGAGCCTTTCAACTGCTCATCAAGGTTAGTAGTATGAATCACACCATCATCATCATCATCATCTTCCACTTTTGACCTTCCTGTGATGGACATTTCGAGTCTTTGAATTTGAGTTTTGGCTGTTGAATTATTGATTCATCATAAGATCTGAATTGGGTTTCTTGATTTTTTTTTTCTTCTCAAATTGGACTGTTTTTGCTCAGAATTCAATTTTCATAAACTGAAGAAATTGGTTAGGTTCATTGATAGGGTTTGGGAGCTGTGTTTTTTTTTTTTTTTTTCATTGTTTTGATATAGTGCTGGTTGCAGAATTGTGTAAGAATTTTTGTTTGTCAATTTTTAAATATCTCACTGAATTATGTCCATTTCAATTTTAAATTTTGGGATTTTGCACTATAGGGTTGGATTGGTACTGCAAAAAAAAAAAAATTTCAATTTTATAGCGTGGTAGAAGCAAAAGACTTGCATATATATATATATATATATATATATATATATATATATTGTTGTTGTATACATGGTTTCTGTACCAAATTATTGTGGCCAGATCTCATATCTGTTCAACTATATATATATTGTTGTTGTATACATGGCTTCTGTACCAAATTATTGTGGCCAGATCTCATATCTGTTCAACCTTTTGAAATTTTACGTAAGTTACAGAACCAGCAAGACCTTGTATTTCTTTCTTTCTTATATATATATATATAATGTTTTTTCTTTTGAAATGATTTAATTTTAAGCAAAAATACCCTTTTGTTTTATGTTTTTTCTTGCTATTTGAAAAGTTTGCAGGAAGTGGAAAGTTATGGCCTCAGAGAACATTTTATGGTCTAATTTATTCGAAGAGAGATGGGGCAGCGATAATGCGGTGTTCTATGCTCCTGTAGATTCAAAATCATGGAAGGATGTGTATGTGGTGCAAGATCGGTGCGATCGAGTCGGATTGTAAGTTGAAACTGCATGCTATATTGTCATTCATGTTTTCAGTTCAAACCAATTTAGATTGTACTAAATGATCTCTGTTAATCCTTATGTATCACTATAAGTACCTTATTTTTGGGCATTACCTATTGGCCTAGTTCATAGTTGGTAGAGATGTTTTTTTTTTTTTTTTTTTAAGGCTTTTAGAGAGTTCTGAAGCCCAGTGTACCTTTGTTTCATGCCTTACACAGGTTGACACGAAACATGTCGAAAACACATTTCAAAATTGACACTTTTTTTTTTTTTTGCGCGGATCTTCTTTCAGTGTTTTCTCAAATATATATGAATTTTATTCCCCTCAATTCGACTTATCAGTGCACTTATTTGGATTCGACAACCGGTTTGTGGTTTCTAGGGGACTGAAGATAATCAGAGAAGGTATTGACTACTATCTTGTACACCAAGGTGAAATTCAACGCCATTTGGGTTCAAGAAGACAGCGAGAGGTAACAAATGGGTGTTCAATGAGTTCGGAAATAGACATTCCCGGAGAAGCAACTTTGGAAGATGAAGAACCACCTTGTTTAGGAATTCTGGACAAAATACTCTTTTTCATTGGGGACTTGGAAGCTGCTTCAGTATATCCCAACTACGCAAAACGTCGCCGGGTGCTGTAAATGTTTCTGTGCTTCTTTTTGCCAAGAATGTTGAAGTAATTTCTCTGTTTGTAACATGATGTAATTTCTGTCTGTAACATGAGACCTCCTGGCCTGGTTACGGTGGTTTTGATATTTACTCGTATTATTTTGTCTATATGTATGCTGTAATATGACAACTTGATTTTGATATTTATTCGTGATAACAGACTTTCTCTTCTGTTCACCATGACTCACTCTCCTTCTAACGAAATCTATGGATTTGAAATCAGAAATTTAGAAAGTAGATATCCATATCAATGACTGCATTGGATGGCAATTCTTGTTCACCATTAAGCTTTCTCTTCAAGTAACTAGAAATGAGTTACAGTTTGTTTTCAGTTGAGTTTGTTTTCCTGAAAGAAACAATATCTCAGCTTTCAGGTGCCATTATGACCATTTAAGCACACAATTACAATTAAATAATTAATTCAATTAACCATATAACAAAAAGCCAAATTATCTCAGGTTTTAGCCGCCATTATGACCATTTAAGCACACAATTATAATTGAATAATTAATTCAATTAACCATATAATATTGTCTCTAACAGAACTCGAACACTGCTACAAATTATATGATGGTAATCCTGCAAGAAGATTTAAACCGTCGTAAAAAGCTAAGGACAATTTCTATTTGAACCTTACATCACTCACAATCCAACTCAATAAAACAGCTTTATTCTAAAATTTTGTATTAGAGTATAACCGGCGTTCGCAGAAAGAAACGCTGGTAAGTGCGAAATTTTGTGCTGAAATTATTTCACTTTACTATTTGCTTAATTTATCATTTGTTTCTAACTTCACCAATCTCATCCGACATTACAAACTTCAGTTTCCATCGCCCGCTATTCCAGTTCGGGTTCACCGTGGCCGCTGGCCCGCCGTCTTTCAACTCTCAAGCTTGCCCCCCTCTCTCTCTGCTAACTTGTATGTATGGGTTTTGTTTTAATTTTTTTTTCCAACTTTAGAGTATGAATAACAACTCTTTAAATAGCCTCCCTATTTCTTGTTTCTCTCCCCTCTCTAAAGTTGAGGGATTCACCGGAAACGCAACTGATCGATACACGGCGCGCGCACATATACATATATATATATATACACACACACGTCTATCTCATTTTCAGGGAGATTGCGATGGACCCTTCCATTATGAAGCTTCTTGAAGAGGACGAGGTTACGTTTCTCTCTCTTACTGCACAATTTATGTTTGAATATGTTCACATATATACATATACATATATATATGGCTGAAATTTATTGGATGCGTAAAAAAAGGGGAATTGTTGGGATAGTAAAATCTAAGTTGTTATCATCTGATACGTTTACATGACGAAACTATGCATTCTGGGGCGGATGTGGAGGCGTTCACTGCTGCTTTAAACAGGGACATTGAGGGCCACACCTCCACTTCTCAACCCTCTGATTCAGGTGGTGGTGAGTATGCATCTCTACAAGCTTTGGATTAAGGATGAGGTTCTATTTTTTTTTTTTTTTTTTGTGTAATTTTTTTATAATTTGATTAAGGCCGCTCCCTACTTTGATTGATGAGAGATGTAAAGGACGTAAAACTTTGGATCATATATATGTGTATGTACATATATTATTTCGATATGCACAGGAAATTTGGGAAAAAAAATTGTTCTGATTTTGAATCTGATTAAATGTTTTTTCATTTTTTCATGTTTTTTCATTTTTTTTAATCCTGTTTTTTCCCCTCCCATGAGGGAAGGAAGAATAAGACAGTTATGTATGATCTTGAAACTTTGGATTTCTGTAATTTAGGTTGGATATGCTTTGTTTGATTGTAGATATGTTACAGAAAATTGAAATTTGTAATTTGTAACAGATAATTAGTTCCTAGATAAAATATTCAGGAATTGAAGCTTTTGCTACATAAATAATGTTTTATGTTTTCTTATTTCATCACTGAAGTCATGGGGTGCTTTCTGATTCCTGCATTTTGAGGTATGATTGTGTTATGAAACTCGATCTACTTTGTTTGTATATATTAATGAATGTTGTATGTTCAGTTGTGTTATGAGACTATTTTGTATATAATTAATGAAGGTTCTATGTTCATGTTTGTTGTTTTCTATGTTCATGGATGATGGTTCTATGTGATCAGTTGTGTTATGAGTCTCTGGACTGGATATGTTTCTCTGTGCTGGGTATGTGATGCACTCATCCTTCAGAAAGTGATCACCTAGTGAGACAATTCCTCACATTTCAAACCTATGCTCACAGGGTCTCACAGGAGGAAGAACAACTGTAGTCAACACAAGGCTTGTGTTTTTTTTCTGTTTCAGTTGTCACATTTGACTGTCTCTCTCTGTTCTCTTATATTTGTCCAGCTTTCATGCTCTTGTTGGGGTTCTTGTTATCATGGATAAATAATACTCGGTGTTTTTCTTCATCTATATATAATTGAAAAACATAGTACTTAGAATAAAGCTAAGACTAGATGGAACTGTTGTCTTCTTTACGGTAGAGGGGAGTTCTTGTGCATCAATGGTGGTGATTGGTAACAGTCAATTACTTTGATTTACTTTATTTCTTTCTCAGCGATGATTTTAGTTGTTGTTTTTTGGTAGGGAGAGGATGTTAGTTGTTGCATTCAAGAATTTGTCTATATAATTTTTTTTTGTTCTGTACTCAAAATTTTCAACTTTCCCGCCTTTTTAGGTGTACATTCGATTTATCCTTTGCTCTTTTGCTTCCTTGTTCTAATAACAAAGCATTATTTTTCATAAATGAAGAAAAATATTGAAAGATAAAGAATCAGACACTTGTTTGGAATTTGAGAGCGTTTTGACTGAAAAGGGTGAAGGATGAAAGAGATGGGGGCTGTGACCTATTATTATTATTTTCTTCTTATTCCTTTTAACTGAATGAATCAATAGTGTTTCAATTTTGCATAGAAACTGATATTTGGCATCATGGCATGGTATGACTTGGGAGGTGGATTTTAATCAACAAAAACCTCTTGATCATGGTTGAGTCTGTGGGAAAAGAATATGAGTACTAATACTTTGGGCAGCAAACCAGTTCTGAATGAGGGGTACTTTGGCAGCACAGTGGATAGCAGGAACGAGAGAGACTTCATTCATGATGATATAGTTTCATCCAAGATCAAAGGTGCTTCATGTACTTGACTCTTAGTTTTTGCTATTGTTTTATTCAGCTTTGAATTTCTAAGCAAGAGTAGTTCAAATATCGTGCAGGATTGCCAAGAGTACGTTGGGCGCTTCCTGATTCCTAAAATAGTACTCTTAATTATTTTGTGTATTTTTTTGTGCTTGCTAAGTTATAATGTGATCCCAGTCTCTTCAATGATAACTGCGTTACCATGACTTGTTAATCTTTATTTTTTTTTTTTTTAAGTTTCTGTTTCAATTTGTTGAGTGCTGAATGCAAAATTTTTGATTGGGCAGAAGTTGAAGTTGAAGCTGCACTTATTAAAAAGCTAGAAAAAAAGAAAGTTTCAAGATGCAAGGGTCGTGCTTTTTTAATTTCCTTGGCCGATGTGAAAACTTCTACTGCATGTGGTTGTGTTCACTACTTTTGTGAAAACTTCTTTTGGTTGTGTTTACTTCTTTTCTGAAAACTTCTTTAGCAGTTTTTTGTTATTATGATGTAAACTCTTATTCTTTTTTGTTGCCTAAATCTATTACACATTTAGATGATATTTTCATATTGGCAATTAAGGTTATTATTAAAGTACTATTTATTGTAAATGGTACTTCTTTTATTTATAAATAAAAAAGGTTAGAGGAAAGAAAAAAAGCACAAATAATAATAATAATAATAATAATAATAATAATAAAAAAGAGGTAATTACCAGCTCTTTTAAGGAGTAAAGGCTATTAAAAGAGCACTGGTAAAAGCCTATTACCAGCGCCGGTAAAAGCTTACCGACGCTGGAATCACCAGCGGCTTGCTAAGAACGCTGGTAAAACGATTACTAGCGGCCTTTTTTTTATTATTTTTTTACAGCGTTTTTGAGTGCTGGTGAAGAGCATAACTATTGTAGTGTACACATTGTTAATATGACAGTGTATTTTAATAGATGCTAGAGATGGAAAAAATTTACAAATCAAATGTGGTAGTGTATATTTTACATAAATTTTTTTTTTTTGACATACCAAATTAGAGTTTTTAAGGAGACATGCAATTAATGTATTATCCCATTTTAAAATTATTAACGTGTCCTTTTTAGTTTAAATAGATATATAGTTACCAAGTTTGAAATTTTTTTGAAAATATAAAGAAAATGGAAAGATAAGATTTATTTGCTTTGAAATCAGGGTCGGCCTTGACCTAAGGCGACCAAGGCAGTTGCTTAGGGCCTCAAAATTTAAAGGGCCTCAAAATTTATAGGCCCAAGAATGATGGGCCAAAAAAAAAAAAAAAAATTTGTAACCAAATGCAGGGACCCTCAAAATTTATAAACCCATGAATGATAGGCCACCAAAAAAAAAAAATTACAACCAAACGCAGCAAATCATTTTAGGGCCCTCAAAATTTATAGGCCCATGAATGATGGGCCACCAAAAAAAAAAAAAAAATTGTAACCAAATGCAGCAAATCATTTAAGGGGCCTCAAAAAAAAAAAAAAAAAATGTAAAGAGGGCCTCACTTTTAAAGTTCGCTTAGGGCTTTTCAAGATTTTTTCAATCTCAGGGCCGACCCTATTTGAAATTTCAAAGTGAAGAATTAATTTGGGATATCTAAGATAATAGACTGCTAATATGGGATATAGATAGTATAAGAAAATTTTGTTATGACATGTTACTAATAAAAGATTTATAAAATATGAAAAAGAAATGGAAGTTAGGTCATTTCATATTTGAATGGGCATTATTTCTTTTTACAGTATTTTTTTATTAACCTTGATATGTCATAACAAATGCGAAATATCCAAGTATTGTACGTTAAATAAAAAAGATCGATATATGTGGGATATATGTGGAACAAACATTGTTTTTAAAAGGCTCGACAACATCGCTTTGCTAGCATTAGCCATTAGAGCAGCCGCAATGTGCTAGCTTAAAATCTTGGGGTCCATTTTGCCTCGCGGGCGATCGTGATATATATATATATATTTTCTGTTGCAAAACGGCGCCGTTTTCGGTTGCTTTTTTTGTTTTATTATCAAGCGCTCCTGGAACAGTGGCTAAGGCACTGT